AGTGAAGAGGAAAATTTCAATTGTAAAACAGAGATTCAGTAATGTTGCATTGCTTTTTCAGTTTACCTCAGTAAACCAAGAAAAGACTTGTCTAGTGCAATGAACTTTGTGATAAGTTTCATTTCTAGGGATGAAATTTATCCAACCCTGTCAGAAGTGGGCATCTCAGTGGGACCTCCAAAATAGTTAAAGGGTAATTTTTAAAAACTAAATCCTCTCATTCAAATATAAAATGAATGTGCCTAAACTATCCAATTTACATATTAATTAAATTATATAACCAGGAAATATATAGTATCACTATTAATTCAAAAAAGAAATCAAAGAACTACAAATTCGTGTGGATGAAAGAGATGGTAGAATTATTTCAAAAATGGAAGTAAAATTGGTATTTTTCATAGGCGAGGGAAGATTACCTCTCTACAAATTATAAGTTATTTAGATGTCTACAACAAATAAGAAATATTAAAAGGAGAAATTAGTTTTTAATCTGTTTAAATTTACAAAATTATAAAATAGCCTACTCAGAAACAAAAATTGTATATTTCTATATAGTCCAACAGTCTCTATAATCTTTAGTATTTCATTGAAAAAAGTCCAGTAATTATTTTGGCTTATTTCAAACCCTTAAATTACTCATTATGAGATTAAGTACAAATAAATACTAGTGTCCAAAAAAGACTGGTCAATTTCTACTGTTGTTAGAATCACTTGGGTGCTAAATCAAATCTTCGCATTATATGAAATATTTTGCTGTTCCATATGCTTTCCATTTATTTGACCCTATGAGTGACTTATTTGTAGTTCTCCCTATGAGCATATTTTTTCTTGTTAACTTTTGAGTCTCACAGTCTCTATTATGGATTTTTTAGTTTACTTCCTGAAAAATAAAAATTCTTCCACCATTTTCATTTCTGTATGTTCTTTCTCTGTCCTTTCTGCACCAAAAGAATATATTCCTCTCTCCACCTTTCTCATTATCCATCCTATCCATCATGACGTGAAACATTGCTTGCTTGATTCACAACTTTCTTCTTAAAAAAGATTCTATTACCTATTCTTTCATCCTTGTGCTAGCTTAAATTTCCCCTTTGTTTTTTATTTGTGCTGCAGATGGATGGGAAAGAATCCTTACCAATGTATTACTCAGAGAAGCTTCAAAACATTCCTCACAGAATTGCCAAGGCATATAAGGAAGGGATCTAACTTCATAATTGTTATTTCATCAGGTTTGAATCATAGCAGAAAGGCATAAAAGAGACCTAGTAATTGTAAGGTCTATGCTAATAAGACATTGAGGAGTGAGCACAAAACAAACTGCAGGGCAAGTGTTGCCTGAACTATAAACCCCAACCACACCCATTTATCTCCTCCAGATAATCTTTACCAAAATATACTATGTAGCCCTCACACCTAGGCATAAAGATTTATAAAATCTTCCCCCACCACATCATTGAATCTTGTATCTGGAAGAGACATTAAAAATTATCTAACAATTAACAATGGACCAAACCAAGGATGGCATCTTCCTTTCTCAACTGTAGTTTCCTTTCTTTCCCTCCCTTTCTTTTGATAAAGTTCACTCCTCCACTAAAATATAACAAAGTCATAATGGCCAAAATGTAGCATTTCTCATCTTACCATTTCCAAATGCCCAATGGTTTAATAATTCACTTCATCCTACTGCCTTAAAAATGAAACATTTATCTTTGAATCCATCTATAAAACTGCTCTTTACTCCTCCCACTTGCTAAATAACTTCATTTATCACTCATCTTATGGACCTTATCTACTCTATAGGATAAATTTGATCAGATAACCTGGTCCTTAAGAAAGCAGAGCAAGATTGCTAGGAATGGCTTTAATTGTTTGAGAACTTCTCTTTGATCTGAAAATTTTAGAATGGCTACAGGATGTCTCCAGGGTCTCTTGAATTTTTGATGGTTCAGGAAATGATTACTTTGGCCTTAGAATTTGGAGAGCCCTTTCTAGAACACACTTACTGGATTTGATCCTCGGAATGATTTGAAGATGAGCTTAATCCCTAGTAAGAGACTGCACATTCCTGGCTTAATGTTGTGATATGATATGACAGATTTATACACTGTTCGGATATAATAATGAAATGCAAAGGAATGAAGTGTTTTATGTACACAGTAACTCTTATTTCAACGTTCATTAGCTGTTGTATAGGCTTTCTTGGCTCCATCAAAAAGGCATCGAGTGTCCTGGGGAGCCTTGCAGAGCAGCCTCCCAGTTTAGAAAGACCAAAGCACTGAGGCATGAAGTCAGGAAGAAAGAAAACAATGTAAACAAAGAAAGAAACAAAACCAAAAACCAGGAGTCCAGAGCAACATCCATTCCCCAAAGGCATATCTGCAATTTAGGTGTTCTTTCTTCTGGATACAAGAGCCACAAAGCAAATATTTGTTCAATGAGTTGCTTCCTGGGTTCATTATTCACTCAGCAAACACTGTTCTTCATTCCTTTGGTGAATGTTGTTTTCCTCCATCAAGTGTAAGGAACTGTATGTGTACAAACATAAAAAGGATACAGTTTGGCATTCAAAGGAAAGCAATTTTGTGTAGAAACCAGACGAAAAAAATCAATTCAATATAGTGAGGCCTGTAGCAGAAGAACTGCCAGATAATAGGGAGAGGGACAGAGAGAAGAGATTAACCCAACTGATATCGGGACAGTTGAAGAAAATTTTAGAAATTAATTTTAAATGCAAATCGCTTTGGTGTCATGAACCTGAAACTGAACCTGTCAAAAGAAAAGATGGTTAGAAAAGATGGGAAAAGCTTACTGCTTTCTCTTCTAACAAGCACTCAAACTGTTAAAATGAAGGGTACTGGAGTTCTTGGCCATAACAGTTCAGGAAATTCCAAAAACAAAAGTTCAATTGAGAGGTGTCGGTTGGCTCACTCTTTCTTGAGAGTGCCACCACGACTAGGCACACGGTAACAGGAGACGCCCTAGGTTACGCTGTATTTATAGATCAAAGTACATCCTCCAGGATGCATTTTCTGGAGAATTTAGGTAGAAACAAAGCTAAACAAAATCATTTTATCATTACCATGGGCAGAGGGGTAGGCAGAAACAAAGGAGGAGCTCTAAGGTTGGTTTATTTTCCTTTAATGTGGTTTGTTTGTTTGTTGTTGTTGTAGTTTTAACAACTGCTGATGTGCTGCTGATGTAGAATGAATATCAAGAGCTCCCTGCAGCCCAATAAAACCACTGCTCACTCCCAGGTTAGTAAGAAGCAGAATTTAGACTAGCTTTTCTGGTCCAGGTATGCAACTTCCCCCTAAGCATGAGCTCATCAGGACTATTCACTGTCAGTTCAGTATGTGGAAACTGTAGAAATTGTTCATGGGAGAGCAAAACATTAATTAACCCAGGGCCTTCCCACTGAGCTATATCCAGTCTTATTTTTCACTTGGATGAAGGGTCTAACTAAATCACTGTTAACCAGGCTGTGCTCAGTTTCAAACCTTTTGCCTCAGCCTTGCAGGGAACAGGTATCACAGCTGCATGCCACCGTACCTGGCTTTCCCCTATCATTAGTGAAGAAAAAGTAAATGTTGAGAGCCACTCTATATAATTGAAGGGAAAGATCATTTCATAATTAAATTACGATTAGGGCTGTCTAAGGCCCAGTGTCTTCTTGCCTGAGAACTGCCTATGGCATATGGAAACATAACTCCGATTTGCCTCCAGTCACAAGTTGAGGCCTCAATGGTCCCATGATACTGTGACAAGCAAGGGCAAGATTACATCAGCTGAAGACATCCCGGTCCTTTGAGAACTGAGTAGTAATTAGAAAAAGAAAAAAAAAGTTTTCGTCTGGGAAAAGGACAGATTCCTTATTTGCCTGCTATCTTGTCCCACCCACTACTGTGAGAATGCTTTGCTTATCTCATAATCCTCATTAACCCAAAATCCTCATCCATCTAAGACCTTCATCAGCCTAAGACCCTCATCAGCACTGGTCTTACTTACTGCCACCCTCTAGTCACCTGATGCTCCCTCCAATTATTGTGTTCACCTGATAAATAGTGGTGAGCTCAGGGCATCTTCATCTCTGCCCACTCTGAGGCACTAACTTCACAGCCCCCCAAATATTATGAAATTGTTTCTATTGTCTTCCTTTCTTCTGCCCTCTTCACCCTCCTTTCTAGACAGAATGGAGTATTTATTGGCCTCTGATAAGTAGACTTCATTTACAGTAAAGGGTTGCTACTCAAAGTGAGGCTAAAGCATCTTCCACATTAGCATCACCTGAAGTATGTCAAAATTGCAGAATCTCAGGACCCAACCTACTGCCTCTGAGCTGTCTTGTAACAAGACCACAGGTGATCTGTATGCAGGTTGAGTTTTGAGAAACCTTCTTTATACCAGGGTGGTGAATGAACATTGAAATCACTGGGGGAGTTTTTAAAAAACAATCCCACTCCTCAGAATTCTGCTTTAAATGCTCACGCTCCCTAAGTGACTTCAAATGTGCAGCCAACAGAGTAAAACACTTGGATACCTATTCCTATGTCTATGAGGACCTCTGAAAAAGCAAGAGAGCTGGGTGCTGCTCATGCAGAATGCAAAGGAAGAGCTCCCTGCAGCCCCCCAAAACCACTGCTCCCTCTTGGAATAGTCAGGAACAGAACCAAGATTAGCTTCTGGGGTCCAGGTACACAACTTCCTCCTGTGCCTGTGCTCATCAGGACTATTACTGTCATTTCAGTATGTAGAAGCTGTGTGGAAATTTTTCATGGGAGAACAAATTAAGCCTAGAACATTTTATGCCTGCTTATTGAATTCATCCTCTGACATATTATTTGCAATTACAATAGAGTCCTTAGGGTGTAGAAGGTAGTAGAGAGAAGGAAAAAGTCAAGGTCTTCAAATTGGAAAAATGAACAAACCAAAAACAGAAAAGTTACCCAAAGGAAGTAGCACCCAGCAAATCCCTGCCATGAGTCAGCACCAGAGAGGCCCAACCCCTTCCAGGGGAGTCTGATTAGGGATCAGGCTCTGCAGTTGGGCTGGGCTGGGCTGGGCTGGGCTGCTGCTTCTCCCAAGACCAAGTCTTCACAGCAACTTCCCTTCCTCGGCTGCCTAAACTTTTTTTTCTGTGACTGGAAAGAAGTGTCACCTTTTGCTCATTCTCTAGCCTTCTCCCCCACCCCCTCCAGACAACGTGTGTAGAGAGCAGGGGCTGCTGTGAGCCACCTCCTCTCCGGTGACTGCTGTGAGGAACTTTCAGCTCCTGTCTTTATGAAGCTATGAACTTCCTCGAGAAGCCCAGGAGCAGGACAGCTGCCTTTCTGCCTCTTTGCTGGCTCCTTTTGAAGATTCTGCAACCAGGGCACAGCCACCTTTATAACAACCGCTATGCTGGGTAAGTGGAGCGACTTTCGTGCCCTGCACGGCTTTGATTTGAATGAGGGGGCTGGTTTGCTCCCGTGTGCCTCACTTGCTGCCTCACGTTCTCTGTGTGAATCTGCACACTTTCCTGGTCCCTTACATAAAGTGTACATACAACTCTCAGTTCTTTGGCTTGGCTCACAGAATATATGAAAGTCAACGGCTTTTCATATTTTTTATAGGTGCCAACCTCTGCTGAGGACCCAGTGTTCAATGAGATTCAGCCTAGGATAGCTGTAGCCAGTATGCAGTATTTGCCTTGGTTGGTGCTCAGCATGAAGGATGCTGTAGTACCATGTGAATTATGACCTGAAAATTAAAGCCTCTCCTTTAGAAATGCATGCAGGAACAGTGGGTTGAAATTCACCCGTGATTAATTTAAGAACTGAGTGTGGCATTTTTTTTAATGCTTGTTAGTCTTCAAAGTGGTTGTTAGAAGGATTTTCAAATCCAAGCAGTACAAATAATTCAACTCAAAATGAGCAGAATAAAAGTAGCCAACCAGGTATATTTCTGAAGGAGAAAAACAATGACTTTTCTTCCTTCTTTAAGTTAGTATGTTTTGTATATGGCTTTCTTAAGGAGGCCCAGAGATGGGTAGAAAGCAGTGTATTATGATGCATGTTCTTATCCTGAAGGCTGGCTGTGGTATAGATAGCATGTGCTTGGCTCAGACTTGCAGGGGGCTATTCTTTGAACCTGAAAATTAGGGTATGCTTGCATTTTAGAAGTGGAAGTAGTTTCTCTAGTCACTTAAAACACAGGCAGAAAACCAGTGTCTTTGGTCTTTTTTAAAAAAACAGTATATTGTCAATAATCATCAGTTGGGAGAAGTTTACATATAAAGCTAGACTATAACCTGGTAATACCCCATGTCTTAAAGAAAAGTTGTTCTTTTCAGGAATAATGTAGAGAGGAGTTTATAAATGTGACACTAGAAAAAGGGATCTTATATCCCTTTTGCCCTGAAGAAACCGAGTGCTGGCTTTAGCGTTTGCTGAATACAGTGAGAACCGAAGAAATCTTAAAAATATGTCCTTAGTGTTAAAGGATGAAGGATAGGGATGGAGGTGTTGGTAGAGGTAGGAGTTGTACGTAGTAATATGATCCCAAATTTTTCTACCCTGGTGTTCCTGGGAGGAACAGAACAGAGTTAACATCTGAGGGCTGCTTTTTGGTCTCCTGAACACACAAGGTCCACACTTCACATCCTGTCATTTGTCACCTCCTTTGGAAATGTGAGCCCATGTTTCATGACTGATAGTGCAGCCTGAGGTGCAAGAGTTAATTCTGATTCTCTTGGCTGACATGGGGCCATATGAGAAACATGTATCACAGAGTTAGATGTGCTCTTGTGACATAGGACCTCACTCCTACACTTAGCTGCAGCTCTGTCCATAATTATTTCAGTGTGTGGTGCCCCTTGATGATGTTACTAGGCCCACTTCAGCTGAGCAGGTGTGTACCCTAAGCACCACTTTGTAGAGGAAATGAGGCCAGCAGCAACATCTTTTCCAGATAGAATTTTTAGCAACTGGATCCCTGCTGGAGGAGGTTGTGCAGCCTTCTCTGTTGTTCTGCACTGAAAGTAATAATTGCCATTTTCTCTTTGACTGCCACATAATAAGATGGCCCCAAATGTATAAATTACAAGATGTCAGAAAGTTAGAAGGAAAAAAATAAGACGAAACAATGAGAAGCTAAAGAATTGAACCTTACCTGCCCATCATAATGGAAGGCCAGAGCCTCTTGAAAACTAGAAATATTTGAGTGTATGGAACATTAAAAGAACCTCAATGTACTTTTATGAGATATATGTCATTCTTTCATTACACAAGACAGAAATGCTAATCACAATTGGGAGTATTTTGCTTTGTTCACTTAGTAAACTACTTTAGCTTTTTAGGGGACAAGAATCTGATGGAAAAACATGATGGAATAGTATTTGGTATTTAGTATTATCTTTTACTGGCTGTGCCCATTTAAAATTGTTCTAATGCACTTCATTTTTATCCCTTAATAAGTTTTCTTTTATTTGCCATGTTAATAATTATAAGGCAACCCTATTTCTTACATTCATATAAATATATTTTGTAGTCTTGATTGAATTCAATAATATGTAATTATCATTTGCAGGACCTCGAACATGATAAGAAATAGGTCAGCGAAACCTAGCACACCTCCTGAGAGCACCTAATAAGCTGTTTTCTTTGAACATAAAATAGTAACAACTAGAGAAAGCAAACCCTATAACAGATGCTTAGTGAATGACAAATTTAAGTGTCTCTGGAAGCAAAACAAAAAATGTGTAGAAAGATGTCAGGGAAAATCTGATTTTCTATATTAAGATAATAACTATATTAAGATACATTTACATAAGAGGTCTGAAATACATGGGAAAGAAATAAAACAAAGTGAGGAAAATAATTTGACTTTATGTATCATTGTGCTGTTGATATTCCACTGGTTGAGGGCTTTATAGCCTACAAATGCCGAGTCAAACTTTGGGTGATAAAGGGCAGTGAAAGTGTGAGCTTTCTACGCAAACATCACTCTGTGTGCTGTTCTTTGCCCTCATCTCATTTTCTTGAAAGCAGACCTTGTTATTTGTTATATTATGATATTGAAGACACAACAAAACAAAACAAACAAAAAAAACCCGTTTCCACCACAGGAAATTAGGGTAGTTTTTTAAAGTTACAGTAAAGGCTATCTACGGTTGTAAAACAATAAATGCTGGCCATACTATAGAATGAGCATGGCTATGATTTTTTTAAAAAACAGCTTATTTATTACCTCTCTTCTTCATGCCAGTTGGAATAGTATAAATCCTGAAGTTTAACTGCCTAGATTTCAGTTCCTACTGTTCCACACTTGGTAGCTTTGTTACCTTGGGCAAATTCTTTAATATGTTCTCACTGGCTTAAACCACTAGTGGTAATACATGATTGTCCCAAAGGGTGACTTGTACCCACCCAACGGGACTGTCTCATGCCACCCAGTAAGACTTTCCTGCATGTACCACCAGTGGTTCAGTGCTACTCAGCAGTGAGATATTGAAATTATGGCCCAACTCAAATGTATTAAACTGTCTGAGCCTCAGTCTCCTTATCTTGGACAATAGAGGTAAATCTAGAACCTCCCTACCAAGTTGTTGTGAAGATTAAAACAATAGGTAGTACAAGATCCCAACTATGAATGTAACTGTACTATATCCCTAAAATGTACTAATAAACTCAAAGCTGAAAAAAAACAATAGCATGGATATAGCATGGCACTTGGCATTTATTAAGTACTTCTTAGCTACTACAACTAGCTTTCACCGTAACCTTGTGCCATTGGTGTCCCCATTTGACAGATAAGCTAAATAAAGTACAAACTGTGTAGCCCAGGTTCAGAGCTAACTAACCCAAGGACACAGTTGGAATTCTCACCCACCTCTGCTCAACTCCATAAACTACTTCATAATCTATCACTCATACTGAAAATAATTGGATTTAGAAAAAAATGAAATCTTAATCTTATTTTGGAAATGACAATTTCAGGACAATAAACGGATGAAGTAGGTAAAATTAGAGATTTAATCTTGGACCTCTTCTCTAGGGTGATGATGAGTCACTGATGGTGAATCATTGCTAAGAAAGGTTAGCAGAAGCATAGGGATAGAAAACAAGACAAAGAAACTTTACATTGTCATATGCACACATACAAAAGTAGCACCAAAAGTGACCATGAATATGTGCCTTCATTCGTCCAAGAACTATTGTTTGAAGCCCCTTTGTGTGCCAAGAATATTGATTGACAAAGTCAGTGATCTCTGAGAGTTGCAGTTTAATAAAGAATGATCCATATGTAAAATGAGTGCATACTGTATACACACGATATGAGCAGACTTTTATGAGGATTGATAAACATACTCAGCGTACCCAAAAGGAAGGGCAGAAATCCCTCTATGGCCAGGCTCATTCTGATTTCCCCACTCTACTGTAACTTGGAAGAAAATGCTGAGGGAAGAGGAACTTTACACACTAGCTGTTTCTTGGGACTTGACCCTACTGGTCTTGGGTCTGCTTGAAGACCAGTGGGACTTTTCCTTCCTTGTTGCAGCCTTGCATTTCTTGAAGTCACTTCTCGTGTCTCAATACAGTTTTTCCCCGTCTCTTCTTTCTCAGGGGAGTAGCTCTATTGAGGCAGTTTTTTTCCCCATGACCATGCTTATATACAGGACTGTATAGCCAGCTGGTTTGCAGTTTTGTTTTGTTATGGTGATACTGAGAGGTATCCCAGGGTCACTCTACCACTGTACAACATCTCCAGCAACACCTTCTTTTTAGTTTTGGTACCAGGGATCGAACTCAGGACCTTGCACTTGCAAGCACTACTGAGCTAAATCCCGGCCCCCCAACATCCACTTCTTTGGAGACAGGATCTAAGTTTCCAATGAGGGACTAAATTTTCAATCCTCCTAACTCGGCCTCCCTAAATGCTGGTGATTTCTGAGAAGTCAGTGTCTATGTTGCACCTCCAAAAATGCATACCTCCACCCACAGGGATTTGTCCATAAATTTACTAGTCATCTGCAGAAATAGGATATGGGGATTCAAAGTAAATTTCAAGAAAGTAGTTTGAACAAAGTAGTTTGGTCCTCAAATTCCTGTAAGCAAAGAGGTCCCAAGCTGGAATGTGACATATTAAAGAAAAGTGAACTGTGAACCTAGCAGAGCAAATTCAACCTCAGAGACATCATTCTTGTTTTCCATCTTACCTCTTTGGCTCTTCTGTCTCTACCTCTCAACCTCCCAAGAGATTTTAATTCTTTTATCACCTTTGAGTTTCCTAAACTTCAGAAACCTAGGGCTAGAGTACAAGAGACCAGAGCTGATCAAATGAATCTGAGATTTTCCTTCTATGTTGGTAATTAAGCTCTTTTCAGACAAGATGGCCATCAATTTCCATTTGTCCAAGGACCAACAA